AGCGTGGAGTGGGGACTCAGGAAAAAATACAGACATGATCAAGAGCTAAAGTGTTAATAATGCCAAACTCTGTTTACTCCTCGTCACTCCACGACTCCTTACAAGCCGCCGACACTTCATCGCTTTCCATGAGTTCATCGGAACCTTCCGTCTTGCATACTCGAAGCACAAGATCGTCCATCAGGGCTGCGATTTCATGACAGGCCTCATCGGACGAGTTGACCTCTTCCTCCTCATCGCTCCACCAGTTGGGATCCTTTTCGAGAAGTTCCTCTTTCTTGGAATAGTCGACTTGGGTCATAGCAGGCTGCGAGTTAGTATCTTCATCGTCACTTATCAGAACGGCAAAGTGATTGAATTGTGGTAACGGTGACGGGCGAGCAATTTGAGGAGCGACACGTTTCTTGAACAGACGAGCACCTCGAAGTGCTTTCATGCATGATGTGGTGTTGTTCGTATCCTCGGTTGTTTGTTCTCCTTTCCGTTTCGGATCATCATTGAAGCTGCTGGAATAAGATCGACATTAAAACTTTGTGATTTTATAAGGGCAAAAAGCGCTGTCCGGCTTGAGAGGTGCATTTTCCACTCTTGCTAGTTCCTTTTGCTACTTCCTTATTCCTGTCAACTCACATGCCTTCTTCCTGTCAACTCACATGTCACACCTTGGTGAAACCCTGTGACTCATGTCAAGAGTAAATAAAGGTAATGCTACTGCACAGTTTGACAGGAGTTTACAGGTCACCACAACAGACATGGGCAACGATAGGTGGGAACCGGCAAAATACCCCCACCAAGCTGAATTGCGCCAACATAGTCGAAAGAAACTAACCTTTTCAATGTCACTGAACCGGCCGATTTCAACATACTTGGGTACTTTTGTAGAGACGTTAGCAGCACCAGCGGAGCACGGCTGACTCCCCTGAACAGACAAGTATGTATGGGTGAAAACATCTATAGGTACCAAAGCATTCGAAGGCACACTCTCGGATAAGGATAAGGATGGGCGGGAACCTAGAACCCTTGCGCTTGCAACATTGGTACGCCCTCCTCTTTTCGGTAAATACAGGATGTGCTTTTGAAGTAAGGAATAATCGGTTTTTTGAAGCAGTAAGAATTCCATTTCACCAACGGTGTACGACCCCCCCCCTTTTTTTTGGGATTGTACAACCCCCCCCCGGGCCCTTGTCCCTCTCATCGAATCGAACGTCAAACGAGGGGGGGAGGAGGGTGGGCGTATAGCACATGTGATACAGGAAAAGCCGCGAGATAATACGACCCCTCCCTTCTACCAATTTTCAGATTTTTCCCAACTTCCTGCCTCTAATTCCAAACTTCCGAAAATTCCTTATTGTTTTTTCCTCAAAAATTTGGCTACTGGGGGACGTGAAACAGGAAAATCACAAAAAGTCAACCACCGCTACTACAAGAGCCAAAACAGAAATACGACCCCCCCCCTACAAACAATGACCAAATACGACCCCCCCCCCCCTCACCCCACCCCCTTTTACAACTACAACGTCCAGTGAAGCGAGAAAAATCAACTATCAAAATAAATTTTTCCCAACCCAAATACGACTCCCCCTCCTTTCCTGGCGGCCAAATACGACCCCCCTGTTGGGGATTCCCTCCACAACGATGTGCCCTGTGTGCAACACACCCAGAGGCCTAATATTTTCCATACAAAAAAGACTTCATCACTAACTTTTCATCAATAAAACCACTTTTCCTGGCTTGTTAGTAAACCATAGACAACAGCGTCTTCTTTCAATTTCGAACAGAGAACCAGAACACACACCTCTTTGCGGTTGCTATGACACTTCGTTTCGGTGGATCGTCGACACCTGCCGTTTCAATAGAGAAGAATGCCGCGTACTCATGAATGAAACGACGTTTATCCACAGACATCGGGCGGAAATTGTGATTGATCGTTGGAGCCAGGTAAGTCGGCTGAAAGCGAACACTCTATAATTTGGCACTGTGGTGTTGCCCTCCATCATTCGCCTCATTTTGAAAACAGAGAGCCTTCTGAACTCTGAACTCACGTCGGCTACTTTATCCAGAAGTTCCAGGAACGTCTTCTCCACCTCAACGACGAAAGCAGCGTTAGTACGTAGTTCAACCTAGATTAAAACCTTCACGTGACAGAAGATCCAGTCAAATTTGCAATCAGGACAGAAGAATCCCAAGTTTCGAGCACATATCCCAAGTTCCAGTTAATAAACGAAACATGGCGCAGTTGGGCGACGGGGTGGCATTTTGCACTTTCACTGCTTCACTACTTCCGGTTTACAAGTCTCACTCTGGTGAAACTTGTGAACTCTTGTGAAGCTGGAGCAAGCTCGTCTAGCCACCATGGTAAAACGTGTCAACTCAAGAAAAGGCTATCTAGATGGGTCGACACATCGATGGGAAGCAAAATGCCCCCCCCCCTTGTCGCCGAACTGCGCCAGAAACACACTAACCTTCATACACTCCGTAAAAGTGATTGTGGGTTCCCTTTCCAACATGCCGTTCTCATCGGTTACCAACTGTAGAGCTTCTGCTAACCTTTTGTTTCGAGCCGATTTCTTGCATTCATCATCGCAAGGCAAACTGTAAAACAAATTTTCTTAGAGCTTGGCAAATATCATTAGAAAAATCGGTACTGCCTCTATGTATGCTACAATTTTCCAGGAGAATCAACTATAGCAAACCAACCAGTTCAACTTTTCCATACTAGCCGATTTCTTCAAAGTCCCTACACCGGCTGATTCATTACTCGGATCACCTTCGCTCTCTTCAGCATCGACAGCTCGTAGACGAGCGGTCATTTTTTCAAACTGGAAAATGATTGGTAGGCTGGAGGGGAAACTCATTCCATTTTCTTAATTCACTGGAAAGATCATAAGGGATCGACTAACAGTCGGAGTGAAGCGGAGAATATGCTGTCCCTCGTGGGACAAACTATGCACTCACCTCGATCCTTGCCCCTGCCGTGGGTGGGGTGAATGGGCCCGCAGCAGCAGCAGTGTACAGCGGTAGTGTAGCAGCGCTACTACAGCTGCGAAACAATTCGCCTTGCACGTGGCGAGGAGCGTCGTCGTCAGATGTTTAGTATGTCTTGGCGGACTGACCTACGGACTTTCCTTCCCCCACCCTTTCCCCCCCCCCCCCATAAGCAGGAAAAAGAATAGATGCTACCCCTTTGAACTCGCTTCCATCCTCGACCACTTTCGAGAAAGGTAATGACGAATCCAAGGAAAAGGGAGAAACGAGGAATCTGCAGAAATGCCGAAATCGACGCTAGGGGCTATACAGGAGTTGATCTGGGGATTTTGGCAATCTGACGATTCCGCGGAACCTCGTTTTCTCCGAAAACACCGCACAGAAAGGAACTAAATGACCAATTCCCATCTATGCTTTGCAGCCGACTTCGGCATTTCAGTGAGATTCTGCTTCTCCCAATTCCACGGAAAATCAACTCCTCTAATTGGTAAGTATACATTTTTCTTTCGTCATTTCTTCAAACTTGTCCTGTCATGATGAAAGCGACCTAAGGACCACCGAATTGTCAATTCTTACCTCCGAGCATTTCAGTGTACTCCTGCGTTTCCCGCACTCGCATGTTACATTGACCGGATGCCGGCATTCTGTTTCCGGACAAGGCTCAGAGCCGTGACATGGCACCGCGCACGGATGCTCGCATGGTCGACGTAATATCATGCAAGGTCGTGAGCACTTTTCACCTTCCTGAACCAAAACGATATAAATTAGTCATGAAGCATTGAATAAGGTCTTCCGTCTCAGATGAATGCAATAGCCTCACCTTTGTACACTCGCCAGCGTGGCAGTTCCTATTGCAGTTATGCACTCCACAGCTCAACGGTTTATTACAGAGTCTGCCACATGAAACAGCTTCGAGGTGACACGGAATGTTCTTGCGCACCTGAAAAAAACCTATCCAATGTGGAAAAAAAGAGAAAGAAAAAAATTATAGTCGCTTCCGCAGGAGACGCTGGAGCGTGTCAGTGGGGGGGGGGAGGGACTGAGTTCACCCTCTAATTGGATTTCTAAGAGGGTCCTTACAGTTTCTGGCGCAGTTCCGTGGCGAGGGAGGGGCATTTGCACATTCGATGCTTCACTAGTTCCGCTTTACAAGTCTCACTCTGGTGAAACCTGTGAACTGAAGCTGGAGCAAGCTCGTCGAGTCACCATGGTAAAACCTGTCAACTCTTGTAAGCTCATAAAATGGCACTCTAGAGGGTCGAAAGGTCAATCGGAAGTAATAAAAGTATAAAGCGCCTCTCCCCCTGCACTAGTCGCCGAACTATCCCACAACTTTCAGAGGGAAAGCTTGGTCGGCATGACAGGATAAAAATATACTGACCAAATCTCGAAAATTCGAGCTACCTCATGCTTGCCGTAGCACATTCTTTCGACGAGAGCTGTACAAGGCGGACAACGTTCTTCGCTGTGACAATGGTGCGTAACAGGATGATTGCAAGCGTGCGGTCGAGCACACGGCTCATCACACTCTGGCAAGGGAGCACCACAAGGCACCGGTGGTGGGCGCATTGTGCGTCCGCAATGACAGTACTGCTCTTCGAAACCTATAATAAAATGAGAATACAGCAAAGGTAGCGGACAATCGCATTCCTATTCGAATTAAGGATGTAAGCCTGCGTTCATACTTTGCGTCAGCGTACAACAGAGCTTGGACAACCACGATAGTGTAGAATAGTGATCCAGCGTGTGCCAGCTGGCGTGCGCTAGATCGATACCTATACTCTCCTGGTCGCTGACGCTGACGCACGCTGGTTCACGCTGGCGTACGCTGACGCAAAGCATAAACGTGTCCTAATGTGTCATGATATTTGTAACAACATTGATGGATCAAAGAACTTCACTGTAGTTTTCAAACGATCTCTCCCACATTGACCGGCGTGACAAATGCTCTCACAGAAATGCAAGCCACATGAAAGACGCTTATTGCATACCTGAACATTGCACGTTTGGATCGAAACGTCATAAAACTATTCCTAGAAATCCGAGTGTTCGAAATGGAGCAGGGAGAGCAAAAAAAAAAGAAGGGGGGTAAGGAGTAATTACGAGAGATACAAAAAGCGGTATTCCATAAAAGACGAAGCATGATTCAGTTCCGAATTCTGCATTTCAGAGAAAGGAAGTTTCTACAACACAACAGGAATGACATGAAAGAATACCTGTAAACATAAATGTTCCGGTAGCACACAGCATCGCTCTTGACATTTGTGAATTCCGCAGGATTTCCTCTTCTTGCAACGTTTTTCACACAGGAACTCACCTTCAGCTGGAATATGAAGATGAAATGCGAGTGTTCTATCAAAGAATATTCTAGCATAACATTAACTGCTCAGAATGGTATTTCAACAAAGGTGGAGGCTAACTGATAAATACAAAACTATTGAGCCGTTTTCTTTTCAGCGACAAAAATGACACTGATTCGACCGTAATAGTGTATGGAGTCCACAACAGAGCCTTTTCTCATTCATTTCATTCATTTCCCATTTTGTACAGAAAAAGAAAACAGAAATGAATGCTACAAGGGGCGTGGCACGGGGAATGGGCGGCGCATAGCCCTTGTTAGTAGACCCTAGTGCCCTTATTCAGGTACTCTAGAGCACAATAAAAGATATATTCACTGTAGGTGCGAACTGAACTTCTTGTCTAAAAACAACGTCTGCACATTAAATGAACGCGGGATGTGTCTTCAAGGTCCAGAAAACATGTGAGGCTGCGAGAACTTGTTTCTGGAGATTAGAAAGAGATATTCGAGTTTAAAAACTTTTGGAGATTCATATCTTTGCTGAATATTAACATAAACAAATCTAATCAAGAAATTTCGAGCTCGTTGATTTCTTTCTCCTCGTAATCAAAATAACGTTTGGGGAAGCGATCAAGTCCATCTTCACTCACTACTGGATAATTCACGAGTTTTTCTCTGAAAAGACGTTCAAATTTATCTGAATAGGGGGCAGTTCGGCTTGCTGAGGGCACCAAATGGTGCTCAGGGGAGGGGGGAGGCTACTACGCCTAAGCCTGTACAGGTCATCCCGGCGAAGACCTGCCAATTCTTGTAGTCAAGCTAGCTCACAAGAGTTTACATGTCTCACCAAAATGAGGCCTGTTAGTTAACATGAACTAGAAGGAACCAGCGAAATTGCAAAATGCCCCTCCCAAACCGAACAGCGGCTTCAGTAGTTGTCTATGAACTTTGCTGAAATAAATAAATAAATACAAAAACAAAATGTAATGAAATAAATAAATAAATAAATAAACTTTGCTGAAACATAATTTTTAGGCTCCGCGACATCATCATACAAAAATAATTTGCTTATGAGAGAATTAACGAACGGCGTAGGCATTTATGACCATGGAAAGAAGAAATACTGGCACAAAACCTTAAAATAGTATTTCACTGACCTGCGATTTTCACGTTTCACGTATTCCGTACAGGGTAATGTCCGCTTTACCTGCTTGCATCGACATATCACACAAGTATTCAAACCACAAGGAGGACAATCGCCAGGGTGACATAATGCTCGACAACGATGCCTCTTTTCTAGAAAAATTATAGTGCTAGAAACTTCTTATCTTAGTGAAAATACACCTGGTGACCTACTGTCAAAAACCGAAATGCACTCACCAGGACTGCCACACATTAGCACTTTAGCACAGACATTTCTACATGTAGGAATCGGGTCCTCGCACGATTTTCGCTCGATTCCTAACTCATCCAGCGTGCAACGTCCACAAGGGCAATGAGTAATGCGCTCAGGTGCCGATGGGCATGGTCCACATCCGGACTCACTCATCGAATGGCAGCTTGAAAATAAGGCTGTTTACTTAAGAACGGTAAACAAAGCCAAACATATGCTGAATGCAAGAACGGTGAAAAAGTCACAAAAATAGACAAAAATTCAACGAATAATCAAAGATAGGCAGCAGCCAGGGTGCGTCTGTGCGGTCCTATAGGTTGAAGCAACGTTTCACAGAGAACACTCCCGTTTCGCCACATAAGTTGAGGGATTCCCGAAGAACAACTCCCCTCGTCACAGTTTCATTTGTTGGACAAAGCAAGCGCTACTCGGTCAGCTCTTTCGTTTTGGCCTCAAGCCAGAACAACGAGAGATAAGGTGTTGTTCGCTGCGGTTGAAGGGGCGTGTCAGTGAGGCTACTTGGCGCCGCCAGCTCGTTCCTCATCCGCTGTTGAAGCGGGTGAACGACAACAATTGGTAGAAAACGAAACGATATGATACAGCATTGTCGCTTGCTCGCCTCAAAAACTGGTGGCAAAGGGTTTTGGCGCCGAGTCAAACTCTTCCTTCTGATACGTCCCATCACTCAGCGAAAATGGCTGCAAAGCAAAAAATTAGAAAATGGATACCGTACCTCTTCGTACATCGATGAATGCCACATGTGTACATTCCACTACATGGAGCGCCACAGGAGTACTTCTCGGAATCACCTTTCTCGGAACAAGGAACTTCACGTGAAGACGATCCACAGAAGCAGCCTTAAACGTCGATCTTTGAAGCTCAAGCATCTCCAGCGACGTGGGACCTTTGAAAAACCCATGAAATGGGTACTTTTAAACCTACTTTGTTTGATTACCACTTCGCATGGCTCACAATCACCTTCGTGGCAAACTCCTTTACAGCGGTGATCGACCGCACAGGGCAAGCAATCGGAATCCATCAGTACTTTGTCGCACTACAATTTTTCAGTACTCCCATTCTATAAAGAGAACTAAGCTGCTGAGAAAGGACCGACTCCGCGCTCCGGATTCGACGGCACTCGTGGGGCGATGACATTATGCCACAAAAGCGGCCGGAAGGGGGCCACTCGGTGGCGCAGAGTGCGCGCGGAGGTTCACTGGCAGCTCAAAAATACTTTACAAGGACGTTAGGGTGCTCACTTGCAAGGCCAAAACACCCAACTTTCCTTTTTGAAGGCTTTCTGGTGGAGCAAAGTCTTCCACTATCAGGCTCTTTTCGTCTCTTTAAGATAGTAGAGGTTATTTAAAGCGGGAAAAGAGTTTGATTACCAAGCATGCTCCGAACCACGCCCATTGTTGCGCAAAACATGCGCGCGGCATTGAAGGCTCTTATATGAGGGACATTTTCAGAGGCAAATTTGTTTTGATTTTTTTCTTTATTCGTGGTTGTTTCACCATCTTGTCGTTAACTTTCGAGCTGCACACACAGTTCACCAATAGAAAGCGCGGGTGTGGCGGGTGTGCCCTTAACTGTTTCCACAAAGAAAACGAACCTTTACTTCAGCAATTGTACCACAGCGAACAGCCTTTTGTATGTTACCACAATTGCATCGACGAGTAAGCATTACCGGACATTCTGGACACGGTCCCGGATGACAGGGTTCATTACAGCGATGAGGGCAACCTGGAGCACGTTGGCCACCACAGACGTTGCCACAAGAATGAGGTTATTTCGCCCCTGCAATGCATTTTCAGGCAATTCAACCATAGGCACTCGAACTTCTAATTCCATCTTCGATTAATCTCAAAGAGTCGAAGAGGAAGTAGAGGAAAAGACGCAGTTCCGCTTGGTGGGGCATCAAATGGTACTCAGCTGAGAACAGGGAACTCGATAGACCTGCAAAATTCCTGTGGACCAAAGCGGCTCATTCGCACCACTTCGTAGCTTCACAAGAGCTACAAGTCACACCAAAGAGACCTGCTACTGAACAAGAACTAACAAAACAGACTAGCGAAAGTGAAAAGTGACCCTCCAAAGCCGAACAGCGCCGAAGCAAACATAAGAACTTACATGGTAACAGTTGGATTCCGCTGTTTACCACAGAAGCAGAAGTAATTGTATGGAATTGTTTCATATTTCGTTTGGCAGGTAGGACATCTCCACCTAAAAACCAATAACTCCATCACTAAAGTGGGAGAAGAGCTACTATTCGAACTATTGCAGAGTACAAGCAGAAAAGAAATGCTAAGGTGCAATAGCTGAGGTTGTTCAAGCGACGCTGGACAGGGCAGAAGCCCGCATATTCCGTTCTAAATCGCTCTTGTCTGACGGAAAACCTCTTGACAACGGATGCATGGAACATCACTTTGGTGGGAGGGTTTCTAGGCGAGGGAAGAAACTTGTCGAATTCAGTCATATCGCCACGTACCCCCCCCCTCAGTGGGAAAACTTCAACCTGAGTCCCTTTGCTAGCGCCAACGTTTCTTTTTTTCTCTGTTGCTCTCCTGTCTGGCAGGACATAACATGTAACATATAACACTGTACGTATTGCCATCCTTCCCACGCGATGATAATGTAGGCGCATTCCACCTTGGAGTCCCTTCGCCTAAAAAAAAATCCTTGTTCCCTTGATGCGGGACGTTTTTCGCCCGTTTCAGGATGCTTAGCTCCAGTCCACAGTTTCTCTGGCCCTCTAGACTGGTTCGCGACAGGATCGCACCCCAACAAGGTTCCTCGTTCTCAGCAACCATTCCCCGTTCCAACTACACTTCTCGTCTGTCAAAAAAAGGACCACACGTCCTGAGCGAAGTAAGGCAGCGTTCAGGACTCCGCGACGCAGCGCTTCAGGTTCGCGCGATTCGACGCCGATGAACGGCATGCTTTCGACTGGCATCGATCACGTTGAACGCGCGACCGAAGCGCAGCCGTCGCGAAGTCTGAACGCTGCCTAATCCTCGAAATCAATAAAAACTAACTTGTTGTCGTCCTCCTTGCTTTTCTTAGCCCAGTTGATTATACAACCACCAGAAATATGGAACATATGATAGCATGTCTTACAGGACCAGATACCCTGAAATAAGCAGTGATTCGGCGCTCGGCCTTGAAAGGGGCACTTTGCACTTTCGCTACTTCCATTTATTGACTCATGTTGAATTAACGCTTTACACTTTGGTAAGGACCAGTAAGCTCCTTGTAAAGTCTGCGACATGATTGTATAAGTGAAGCACTCCGGTAACAGGAATTTGCAAGCCCCTCATTGGGTTTGCCTGAAAAGCAGCTTCGCTATTTGCTCCTCCAAGGTTTCGAATTTTGCGCCAGTACAGGTCCTCTCGTACGAGTAATAACGAAGCGGACACCTAGCAAACTGCTAGGAGGACAAAGTAAAGAAAGCAAGGATCCTTCCAAAATAACCCCAACCACTACATCGAGTCTAGAAAAACAGGGAGACAGGTGACCCGAAAAGCGTTAAAAACCGATGCGTGCAGGCACTTTGTGCACACAAACAAACTCAGTCTTCGGCCCTAGGCTCGCCCTGGCCATATACGTGGAAAGATTTAAGCGTTTAGCTCTGTTGAAGCCCGCTTCTGGACCTCACCCCGAGCCTCACCCGTCACCCCCCCCCCTCCATGGGGACTTCCTTGCGCGCGCAAAAAGTTTACAACCCACAGGATAACAAAGCTTAAGGAACGAAAATCGGCTCAACCGGAATGAGGCTATATTCCCATGGTGACGCTTCACTTGCCGACATATTAAAGTTCACACGCAACTCTCGGGGTACTGTAACGCCCCTGTTCCTCCCCTGCTGTTTTGTCTTCTACCCAATTCTTCTTCCCATATAAAAAAAAGATCCACAGCAAATTCATCTTTAAATGGCATATAAACCTTACCTGTCTGGCATGAATTATTTGGCAACATATAGCGCACTCATAACGGTTGCTTTCCAGCTGATTCATGAGGCTCTCTGAACAACTGAGTGAGTGATATCGAAGTAACAAAGAAAGGAGGGAAACTCACCTCTCAAGGGCTTATCATGCTCATTCTGGTCATCCGAGCGCATTTTTCGTATGGGCTTTCGACGATTTTGAAGCCTGACCTCCGCGGGGTTTACGCCTGTCCACGGCGAAACTCTTGTGGTGGTCGGAATGGTTGGCTTTCGGGCCGTTCGAAGGTGAAATTTTTGTTTTCTCGATAAGTTGCCTCTCCTGTTGGGAACCGTGGACCTCTCCTGCTCTCGTTTTCTCGATAGGTAGATTCAACGGTTGGGAACCGTGGACCTCTGCTGCTCTCGTTTTCTCGATGAGTTGGTTCTCCGGTCGGGAACCGTGGACCTCTGTTGTTATTCTCGTTTTCTCGATAGGTTGCTTCTCCCGTTGGAAATCGTGGGCCCCTTTTGTTCTCGAAAGTCCTATGAGGTGCGTTGTTGATGAATTCTGGAGGAGCACCAAAACCAGGAATAAATGGTGCAGCATATGGATTGAAGCCGATGTCACTGTGAAGTGGAGCAGAGCGATTTCCTCCTGAACATGACTTATTATAGGATGAACAATATGGACGAAAGAGCCGATATTCCTGCTCCAAAACACAATCTGCGATAATCAAAAGGGCGGAGACTCACAACTACTATGCATTTCTCACCGAAGCGCCTCCACTCCTCATATATTTTGAGGGTTGCACGAATGTGGAAAACAGAGTAAATGTATTTCTCCGCCCATCCGGTAATCGCAGAATTCGTCTCTGCGAAATACAGTCACGGGCGCAGTTCGGCGACGGAAGGGGAGGATGGGGGGAGGGGTTCCTACACTTTCGCTGGTTTACCAGTTCCGGTTTACAAGTCTCCCTCTGGCAAAAACTGTAACTCTTGTAAAGCCGGAGCAAGCTCCCCGAGCCACTATTGTAAAAGCTGCCAACTCAAAAAAAGGAATCCTAGATGGGTCGACACGTCTATGGAGTAGCAAAAGTGCAAAATGTCCTCCCCCGTTGCCGAACTGCCCGCAATTAAACAATAAATAAATGAAAAGTAAGTAAAACAAATGCGGGCAAAGCTCCCCAACTACTCTACAATCCGATTCGCCTCTATGACCTTTCATCGATTGGCAACTCTGCAATCCATGAAAGATCATGATGGCGAATGTTCTAGGAGGAAAGAGCCAGCTGACAAAATCATCCGGGGAGGGGGAGGTGTGGAGCAAAGGCATGAACTTAGCTTGGTTCGCAATTCAATGAATAACAATAATGAGCACTCAAATGAGGTCCTGAATAAAAGTCTAACCATGATGCACCCAAGAGGAACAGCTCACAACCACTACTGGAATAGTGCTGGTCACTCATATACCAGCGTGATTACAGTAAGGAGAGGCATTTTGGTGCGTTCGGGGTTGAAGCGTGCGAGAAATGGACGGTGAGCTTATTATGGTTTTGGGTGTTCTGCGCCAAAGCAAAGTCCTCCCCATCATATGAACAGCTCAAGCATCCTCCCTTTAGAATAAACTCCAAAAAAAAGATGAAGTTGCGGGATCATAACTGAAGATTAACAGTAATTCAAATAAAATCATTTACATCATGCCAAGCTGTCTTCCCCACGGGACCACATAATGTAAAAAAATGGAGGAAAGTTAGGGTCTAAACTCACCTGGCCCATTTTGTAAGGGAAATCCTCAGTTGCCTCCGGTCCATTAACCGCGCCCTTGGAGCATTTTCACGCTTGCTTGCGTGACAAAGTTCCCAGTAACCTTCTCTTGAGTGGGAGCTGAAACACGGCCACCGAACTGAACTCGAATAACGACCCAACAATTTAGCCTCAAATCGCAGTCTAAGCGACCCAGCAATGATAAGAACCCACCAGCGGGCTCCATGGGGGCCTCAGTCACCATGTTCGCACCACCTCTTGCTTTTCCTCGGTTGGGTCGATTTCTGTAGCTGGAAAAGAATTGACGATGAACTTTAATAATTGGAGGAGCTCACTGGAACGAAAGTCTCAGGCACACAACCTTTGGAAGATGACCTGGCAGCAGTTTTTTCAGCTAGGTGGGGCATTTTTGTTACCAAAACACCCACGCGGTTGTTGCAGTTTTCGGCTCAGTAGCACCCAACGCGGGTGCAGTTCGGCTCAGTGGGGGCACCGAATGGTACTCAGCTAAGTTTGCCTAGGCCACCTTGTGATGCCATGTAAATCCTGTGACCACAATTAAGAACAAAAATGCCTCCTCTAAGCCAAACAGTGCCCCTTTGAAGGGTATAGAACCTTAACTTCTTACCCAGAGAGCCCACTCACTCTCCCGAGAGATCATTCTCTTCAGGCTTAAGCAAAATTTTCATCCCCGACTCACAACTGTTTCATTTACCTTCCAGCGCGAGAAACTTGCGTTCACACTTTGCGACAGTGGAGAACAGAAGAGCAGCAGTCGACACTGTTTTGATGGCTAGTCCCTGTTTTTAAGTGTCGCAAAGTATGAACGCGATTTTCGTGCTGGTAGTTAATATGGCTATGAGCTGAGGATGAGGTTCTTTGCCTATTCTCTCCCCACCATTCTGGGTAAACCCTTCTGGCGCTCTAGGAACGGAGCCCAAAAGAAGGCTACCCTCAAAACAACCAATCGAGAGAAGAATGATAAGTGTACCTGTTTT